TCCAGTAGAACATTCCACCATGATGGAAATGTTCAACATCTGCACCATCCAGTACAGTGGCCACTTCTCATATGTGTTCACTGATCACTTAAATTGCAGGTGATGTGACTAGGAACTGAATTTTAAATTTTGTTTCATTTTAATTATTTTAAATTCAAGTAGTCACATGTGGCTGGTAGCTACCAAAATGGACAGCACAAATCCTACCACATTCTGCTGTAATAAACTCACAAGTGGTATGCTGTGGGGAAATGAAAAAACAGACCTTATTCTACTCCCATTTCCACATTTCTGGGTAGTATGGGGCAAGGGACAAGACTCTGTAACTCCATTTCCTTTTCTCTCCAATTAAGATGGTAATACCTACTTCCCAGTATTGCTCCAAATGTTTACTTACACTGGATACACGAACCGCCTTTGAGAACCATAAAATGCTATCTAAAAGCAAGGTATAATGGGGATCATTCACTGTTGAAAGAGGATCTTGTTTCACTGCAAAACACAATGACGTCTGAGAACATGTGACTAAATTTGAGAAGAGGTGGATAATACCAGATGGGAGAGGTTGCAAATAAAGTGGAAAAACCAAAAAGTAAGGGTTAAAGAAGGTGGAGTAGAAGGGAGGGGATGGAGATGATGGATTTGGGAAAGTCAAGACGTGTGATGTAAGGGCGGTAGTGAGAAGGCAGAGGCGGACCTGGCTTTTAGGAAGATACTTTGGGGTTGAGAACTACTCCTGATGACAGGAGCAAAGACCAATGCCCATCCTGAGCTGCAGGGAACTAGAAAATCACTGACTGGAATTAGGGTGCATTTTCTCCCTTTACATGACGGCCTCAGAGAAAAAAGTCTGGGGGGATTTGAGCAGCAGCTACATAGGCCAAGAGAGTTGATGCAGAAGAACATGTTCAACAGTAATGTTCGGGACAGAATGGGGTTGACAACACTGGATTGTTTGGGATGAACCCATAAGCCTCTTTATATTTAAAGCAAATCTGGAATAAAAGCATATACTCTAGTAGAGACCAAGAAATAATTGTTTGATAAAGAGTTGCTGCAACCCTATCGGAATCATAAAATGTGTGGCACATTGCCGTGAAGGCAGTTTGGATGGAAAAGGGTAATGATGTTGGGCTTGGCTTGGCGCCACAGCCCTCCTGCTCAGGATAGAAAGAACAATGGGTGAGAGACAACAGGAGTTAAACAAACATCCTAGAGTCCCCTAGCACTTACAAAAGTGCTCAAGGTGGCCGTTTGGACTCCATCTCATTGAATTTTTCTGTCTTTTTATCTCAGTCCCTAATAAGCATTACTTCCAGAGAATGCCTGGGTTCAAATCCAAGCACTCCCATGTAATCACTGTGACCCTGGGCTGGAAACAAACTCTGTAAACCACACAACCCTCATCACGAGAGTGTAATAGTACTTGCCTCAAAGGAGTACATAAAGTACTTATGTGCAAACTAGCACAGTCTCTGAGCACTCAGAAACCGCTCAAATATGTAAGTAATTTTTATTAAATACTAGATTATGCGTCTCAAACTTCCAAACATATCACTGGGGAAAAAACAGCCTTTCACTGGATCAAATTAAACTTTACAACCAGAAACATGACTTTCTATGAATCAATGCTTTTCGTTTTATTTTTGTAAACATAGTCGATTAAGTATTGCTTTCATTCATTCGTTCAATCAAAATTTTTTTTCCCCTCATTTTGAAAATGAGCGGTCTTTTTTTTTAAAGACTTATTTATTTATCTTAGGGGGTGAGGGGCTGAGGGAGAGGGAGAGACTCTCAAGCAGACTCCATGCTGGGTGCAGGGCCGGACATGGGGCTGGATCTCACAGCAACCCCACCCCCCACTTCCCAAGCTCATGACTTGAGCCAAAACCAAGAGTCAGAAGCTTGACCAACTGAGCCACCCAGGCGCCTGAGGAGGTCATATTTGAATGGAGTGAGGAAGTGAACCACATGAATGCTCTGGGGCAGACAAATGCTGGCCCTCCCTCTGGGAAGGCAGTGTCCCTGAAGCTGAGAGGGCAGGGGAAACAAGAGAGGAAGGAATCTGGCTGTAGAAAAGCCAGGAGCCAGGTCATACAAAACATTAGTTTCCAGAGTAAGGCCTGTGAGTTTTGTTCTAGGTGCGATGAGAAGCTACTGGAGGGATTTGAGCAGGGAAATGACACAATCAGATTTACATTTTAAAAGAGGCTCTCAAGCAGTTGTTTAGAGAATAGACTCCAAAAGGTTGAGTGTAGGAACAGGGAGACCAGTGAGGAGGTCAGTGCACGCACGGGCCCAGCTGAGAGAGAGTAGAGGCTCAGACCTGCAGTGGAGTTGGTGAGGAGGGATGAGATCACAGGAATATTTTGATGACAAGATTTCCTAATAACTGGATATGGGGCTTGAAAGAAAGAGAAGGATCAAGGATGACTCCAAGGATATTGGCCGGAGTCTCCTTAGGCTGGGGGGCAGAGAGGGAGGAGGGTGGTTGGTGTGGGGGTGGGGGGGTAGGAGCAGGCTTGACAGGGGTGGGAAGAGCATGAAGCAAGAGATCTGCGTTTGACATTTTTGTTTTAGATGCTTATTAAAAGTTCAAGTGGAAATTGCAAGAGTCGTCCATTGTATGTACTCTCTTGAAAAATAAAGGCTTTGTAGTGGAGGATTTAAAGGGCAGGCAAAAAATGTTCCTAGAAGCCGGGATCAGCAGAGCTGAGGGCTCTGCCTCAAGTGTGTTGCATAGGACTCTGTATTACAAAAGGACAGCAAAGCCTCCAAGACTATTTGCTAAAAAACCAGCTAGACAATGAATAAGACAGAGAATATATGTGGCAAAAATTAGTTTGTCTTACCCCTTTAATGTGAGAATTTGGGAGGAGCGTGTTAGAGAGAGAGTTCTGATGACCTGATAAACTGATGGGGAAATAAACTAAGCATCAGATATCCTGAAGGCAAGAATGGAGAAAGATCTGTTTGAAAACAAATACTCTCTTGCTGTTTTATTGCAAGAAAACAAATGAAACATTCACAGCATGCAGGCTACAGGATTATTTTTCATTTAACACCAAGAAGCACTTCTTGAAATTTTTAAAGTTTTCTCATTACAAGATCCAAAGATGGCTGTTAAAACTGGGTGTTTTTTGAGAAGGATTAAGTGTATTTCAGTATTTGTTCATTTCTCAATCCAGCAGTTAAGTCTTCAAGACAGATCCGTATTTCAGAGTATAACTTCAGTGGTTTTCAACTGCTAGGAGCTTATTTATCTGGAATGTCAGAGCTACAATTTTTCTTACTCCTTTCCTTTCAGGGATCAGCTTCCCCAAAGGTTAACCGGGAGAGCTGACAAATGCCTCCACTGAGTGGATGAGTTTAACAGTGAGATCTATACAACATATAAATATTCAACAGGACATCAGAAGTTCTTAACTATGTTTCTCACCATATATAGCAGTTCACATTATTCAAGTAAGAGAACGCTATAGGATCAGAATTTCTGTGATGTATCACGTGGAAGGGTGGGTGGGTTCAGGCTTCTCTTTAGTCCTTTTGTAGTTGGGGAGATAACTCCTGAACCTTAACTCTATGTTAACCTAAAGATGTGGTTCCAGCCAATCAGAAAATATGTTCTGACCATATGCATTGGGTGAAGCATTAGCTGACACTTATTCGGAGAACAAAAGAGGATTTGTATAACCCCTCTGTATACTTCTGTGACCCATCTAAACAGTATACTGTGTGTACTTGTGTGATTCCATCTTTAGATGGAAATTGGCCTTCTCTCTAAATATTAGACTAATACATGTCCTAATCCCATAGGAAAATAGATTGTGAATGATTATGCCAAAGCAATCTATGGTCCTTTCAGGAATATGATTAAATGCTTAGACTTTCTTCTTTTCTTCTTGCCCCTCATATTCATATTTCCAAAATATTTAACCTGAAAGTAATGGAAAATTAGTGGATTTTTAGCCTCCATAACTCCTTTCATTCATTAGCCTTCAATGTCTTGACCTTTTAATTTCCAAAGGTTCTTCTGAGATTGATAAGGTCCGCTCCTCTCATTACTCTGCCTAGGAAACTTAAGAACAAACAATATAGCCTCCTTATGTAATACTTGATGCACAAAGTAATTTTCTGCCAGTCAGCCTTGAAAACCCTGATCAGTCCACTCCCCAAAGGAAGGAAAACATTGTAGTCAATGATCAATTATTTATATACATAAAATATATATTAATAAGTATTAAAACATTTATATAATATATATTAAAACATTTACTTGCTTCACATGGATGTATATGGATATATATTAAATTGATTTATATAAATGATAGAACATTTCCTTCAACATTTCCTATAACTTGTGTTCTACTCTCATTATGATGTACCTTTTATTCCCACATGACTTACTCATTCCATAACTGGAAGCCTGTATCTCCCACTCCTCTTCACCCATTTTGCCCAACCCCCACCCCTTTCCCTCTGGCAACTATCAGTCTATTCTCTGTATTTATAGGTCTGATTCTGCTTTTGTTTTATTATTCATTTGTTTTCTTTTTTTTAAGATTCCACTTATGAGTGAAATCATATGATATTAGTCTTTCTCAGTCTGACTAATTTCACTTAGCATAATAACCTCTAAGTCCATCCATGTTTGTCTCAAATGGCATGAATCTCATCCTTTTCATGGCTATGTAATATTCCATTATATATACACACACACATACATATACATATATATACACATACATACATATATATACACACATATATACATGATATGTATATCACATCTTCCTTATCTGTTTGTTTATTGACGGACACTTAGGTTGCTTCCATACCCTGGATATTGTAAATAATGCTGCAATAAGCAGAGGGATGCATATATCTTTTTAAATTAGTGTTTTCATCTTCTTTGGGCAAATACCCAATAGTGGAATTATTGGATCATATGGTAATTCTACTTTTAATTTTTTGAGGAATCTCCATACTGTTTTCTACAGTGCTTGCTGAACCAATTTACACTCTCAATAACCAGAGAAGACCCCAAATAGCCAAAGCAAACTTGAGAAAGGAGAACAAAGCTGGAGGTATCACAATCCCAGATTTCAAGATACGCTACAAAGCTGAGTAATCAAAACAGTAAGTAAGGTACTGGCACAAAAACAAACACATAGATCAATGCAAGAGAATAGAAAGCCTGCAAATAAAGTCCTGATTATATGGTCAATTAATCTATGATAAAGGAGACAAGAATATACAATGGGGAAAAGACAGTCTCCTCAATAAATGGTGCTGGGAAAACTGGACAGCTACATGCAAAAAAATGAAATTGGACCACCTCTTAACACCATCCACAAAAATGAAATCAAAGTGGATTATAGACCTAAATGTAGGACCTGAAAGCATAAAAATCCTAGAAGAGAGAACAGGCTGTAATTTTCTCTGATTCTGCGATCTTTCAATGTGATTACATATGAGTGCACTTCATTCTTTTATATATTGCATGGCATTCTGTATTTGGGTGTATCAGTTTGTTTCACAATTCTAGAAATAATGGATATTGTTCCTGCTATTTCATTATTAAAATGATCATGTCATGAATCTCCCTGTATAAGCCTCCCTGTGCACACATTTAAATACTTTTCAGGGTAAATGTGTGTAGCTCACATGTGCACAGACACATACACATATAAAGACACAGTTCTTCAATCCATCAAAAATTTATTTTTGTGAATGGATTATCAGTTATCTCAACACCATTACTGAGCTGTTCATCCCTTCCACAGGGAGTTGAAACTCTTATTGTTTTTCTAACAAAATCATATATGTAACTAAATATATGTGCACCCATCTGGACCCTCTAGTCTGTTCCATGTTTCTATTTATCTAATTTTAAGCCACAATTACATTATCTTCATTACAATACTTCATAATATCCTATTTTGAAAATCATCTTTGCAATTTTTGCACATACACTCTTCTATGACAAATGTTGTGGGAATTTTGATTGGGAATGCATTGTATTTGAAGATACCTTTGGGAACTTTTATCGTTATAATATTGAGTCCTTACATTTGTAACTCTTGTTTCCATTTATCCAAACATTCTCTCACTTCCTTCAGTATACTTTTATAGTCTTCTCTATAAAGTTCTGGTATATTTTAGTTGATTCTTGAGTACTTTATGGTTGTGTGGCCCCTGCGAGTGGAGTTCTTTTTTTAAAAAATTGCATTTTCTAATGGTTATTGCTGGTGGGTAGAAAACCCAACACTGCCTTTGTGCTGCAGCACTCACCACAACAGCCAAGATGGGGAAGGAGAGTCTCATACCTCCACGACACGATCTCTATAATGATTAGAAGGACAACATATTTTAACACGAATGTCAACAGCTGGGATAGAAGAAATAATCCTTAAGGTTCGTTTCTTTAACTCATCCCTTTGTCTTAAGATTGTAATAATAAGACAGAAGGGAAAAAAGAATAGTGCCTAGGAACATGCTGTGTGCAATTAAACACATGTTCTGACACAGAATTGCCATATGTGACTAGGCACAGCACTCTGCTCACATCTCCAGACATTCCTTTGAAACAGCTTTACTTTGGGGGCGGGGATGGAGGGAGAAGAGTTTTACATTGAAACTCCCATGTACAGTGGCATCATCCAATACCCAAATTCTTGATTCTTTTCCCCGAAGATTATGCTTTTGCAGAGGCCCCTTCTTTTAAGGTACTTGTTAAGGTAAAGGCTATTTCATAAACATTTATTCTAACTCTCACTTTAAAGACTGAATTGCAAAGGAGTAGATGGATTTTAAAATAATTTATTGGATAATTGCAACATTTTGAACTTTAACATACATATCAAAACAATGGGATTTATGATTATGACTGACAACTCAAGTTGCTCTTATTAGTGCATCTATTTAGAAGCCAATTATATCTCTCTAGCTTTTGAAGAACCAACTTCAAAGTCATCTCAGGGGTCTGAGCATACCCAGGTTGCCAAGATGCAGTAAATGTTTTGATCTTGGTTTCCCTGTTTTCCTCTTTCTCATCCACCTGCTGAGCTCAAGGCTATATACATACATACATGGCACTAACCTGCACCTGGCAGGCAACTTACCCTGTAATTATAGCAAATTATCTAAAAGTAAATAAGAGCCTGGGGTATTTGAATTTTAAAAAATGTAGCTCCATAAAGTGATGCTGCCATCACACCTTCTTGGATTTGGCACTGGATGTCACTGACCCCCATTTCTTGAAAATCTCAAAAGTATGTCTTTCAGTTGACCAAAAAGACAACAAAACATTTTTAGTTGTTTTCATACTTTCCAGTGATATGGCTATGCCTTATCTGATTATAGTGATATTCAATCTGTTGGCTTTCACCAAAATGTACAAAAAATAATAACATTATGTGATCCCATCAGGCTTTCTGCAGGTTTAATAATTTTGATTGTGCTAAGCTACTTATATAAATCATATTTCAAAAGCATAAATTGCAATCTCTCAATGTAAAAGAGATGAACCTGGTATTAAAACCCCAAATGGCCCTGAAATGAGGCTCTTTAAATAGAAAATCCACCAGCTAATATAGGTCAAGAAACCAGTTTGCTCAAGCAATGAAACATTTATAGCATTTCTCCCCTGTACAAATTCTTGCATGTTGGAAAAGGTGATGATTCTGGCTGAAGGTTTTCCCACATTCATTACCTTTATAAGGTTTCTCTCCCGTATGAATTTGAATTACATCATGGGAAAGCTAGTTTCATGACTCCTTTGGAATAGTTGTGGTTTTGAATATGATAAGTCAATTAATCTGTAGCTTAAAGCATAATGGTCAAGAAATCATATGTGCAAGTTCTTTGTGAACATTAAAGTGTTATGCAAGCATCAGATATGATCATCCAGAATGTTACCTCAGACTGAGCTTGTTCAAGGGAAGAACCACGTCTTATTATTTTTTTGGTACCAGCTTTAGTTCCTGGCACAAAATAGAAATCATAAATGGTTTTGGCTGAACAAATAAACATTGAAAGTAATAAGGTGATAGCTAAAGCTAAAAGAATGTTTAGGAATAACAGTTACAACAAAGGAAGTATTTGTGTCCTACAATCTCGGTCATTAAAACTGAGGTTTGGTGGATGAAGGGAATCAGTCAGATAGAGCCTGACCCAGGAGGCCCTACAAAGCTGGAAGAGAATCAGATGAGACCAAAGTATTAGACCACAGACAGAGATCCTAGAGAGACCCAAGAGAAGATTGTGGTCTTCCATCAGGCAATCTGAGTTTTGGGGAAGTTCTCCTATCTCTGAAATGAGTAGGAGGGAAAAACTAAATCTCAGCCACAAAAGAAGTCATTAGTAACCAGCAAACCAACACAGGTACCCAAGCACAGAGGCACAAGATAGGAAATCAGTTGTTGGAATCCCCACACAACAGGGCTGATTTAATAAGAACCTGTTACATGAATGAGAGGATGGGAGTTTATTATGACTGTGTCCTAGACCTAGAAGAGTCAGCAATAACAGCAACCAAGAAGTATTCATTCACAATGAGAAAGCCACGAGAACGTTGGCTGGAACCTTGGGCTATATCAAGGGTCCACACAGGGAGAGCTGGGACAATGTGTTTGGTCCTTAGTTTTCTAATCTATGGATCTTATCTGAATGATCAGAGTCATCCAGAAAATGGATATCTCCCACTCTTGTATTACTAAGTATTAAGGACCATTAAGGACCAGTATACTGGACCTTGACCTCTTCTTCATGTATTACTTAAAATGCCTTATTTTTCTAGAATTCCAACTCTCTCAGCACTCACATTCAAATGCCATACCTTCTCCTAACACCACACACAAGGCAGTGATAGTTTTGTCTTGATTTTTTTTTTAATTGAAATGAACACTTGGCCTCTTGAGATGAATGAATTTATTCACTACCATGCAGGGACTATTTTAAAAATGACCTTCCCATGTCATCTAATTTATGACACATAAAAAATAAAGCAGTTCTCTTAGCCCATTGGATAGGGATTACATATGGTAAATGTAGCAACTGCCCCTCTTTGGCTGTTCTGTCTACGCATCCAATAGAAGAGCAGCTGCACCATTTGTCATCTGGCATTATACAAGAAGGGGCTTTGTCTGGGAACAACAACACAGAATAGATATTTCCCACTTAGGAAACGAATTTCTCACATTGGCTTTGAGGCACGTGTGGATAAATGATTTTGGATTGTTTCAGGATTTCCCTGCTGATGGGACACCATTGAGTGTTGACAACATTTGGTATCCCTGATAGCATCCCTCGTAGTGCCCATGCATTCATGCTCCGTGGCAGTCATGGAGCCCGAGGGTGCCTGCCAAATGAACGTGCGACAGGTCACACTTGCAATGCCCATGCGCAGTTCACCTCTGCAGAGCTTTGCTTTCCTGGAATGCTTCCATTCTTGGCTATTATCAGAATTTAATTACTAGCAGGCACTGCATCCTAAAAGTTGCAACCAGAAGCTAATTTTAAGAATTTGAGAAGCCCAAGCATTATTCAGGAAGGCCCATTTACCCAAAGTCCCTAAAATAGCTGTAAGGATCTCACGTGAGTATTCACAGTAAGAGAAAAGAGTGCATGGTGGCCACGTTAGGAGTGGGGTGGGGAAGCCCGCCTCTGGTTCTTGGAAAATAAAACAACACAGCAGGCCCCTTTGTGAACAGCAGCATGGAGTAAACCGAGGACTCCTTCTCTGCCTTTAGAAAATGTTTAGTGCTGCCATTATAGAACTCTTTTCAGGCTTCCCGTTATGAATTCTGGTGAGAGAAATGAAAGCATCATTTCCTGACACGTTAGGAGGTGCCCAAGGCACACAGACAGAACAGGCTGCTTTTAGTCTTATTTCTTATCTTCCCCCAGGTTGTCTGTGCATCTCCTGCTGAATATACCTTATACTCTCTCCTTTCCCAACACTTGCTTCTTTTGATTTCTGCCAAATTAAATGACTGTCCTACCTCACCCCACAACCTCCACCTTTCCAGATCTTCCCAGCCCTTTGCTTTGAGGCTTCACTGTCCCTAGCTCCTTCCTAATGCCATGGCCCAAAGTGTTCTCTACCTTTTTATGAAAACCTCAAGTTCTTGTCATCT